CGCGTTGAAGTCGCCAGCCACTATTATATTAGTGCATTTCCTTCGAAATTCTAATTCGAGTGCGTCCAGAAATTCAGAAAATACCTCTATATGTGTGTTTGGAGAGATATAACAACTGCAAATATACAGCCCTTCCACGACCCAAACAAATCCTTCGCCATTTCCATACTTCGTGACTCTAATCGAGGGGTCTGTTACAATGATGCCCGAGTCTGAGTTCCGATCAAAGTACCACCCTTTATTTGTTGCCAAATTTTTGTTGGGCTCGCTTATGAGTATTAGGTCGAATTTAAATATGCTTATCGCTTCCATTAATAAGTCGTGGGCCAGTCTACATCTATTGACGTTTATTTGTAGAACGTTAATCATGGTTGAGCGTTTCTTGCCTGTCTGAGAGCTTTCCCGAATGGCCTGCATACTCCAGTGCCTGCCCTGTGGTCTTCCTTGCAAAGAGGACAATAAGCTGGGTTCTTGCATGCATTAGCTATGTGTCCCTCGTGTCCGCAGTTATCGCATTTGTTTCTTCTGTCTTCGCCGCAGCAGTTAGTAGCAATATGTCCATAACTCCAGCAGCGATGACACCTCCAGACATCCAATCTTCTGCTAACAAAGCAGTACACCATTCCTACCTTTAATCTTCCTATTTTACAGAGGTGCTCTGCAGTTGCTTCGTTTGCTTCAACCGTGGCCGATTGAGTCTCACCATATGCCGGTCTCATGGATCGAACAGTTACGTCTTCATTTCCTGTCTCCGCGCGCAGTTTTTCTTGGAGTTCTTCAGCTGTTGTTATTGCATCGAGTTGCTTTGCTTAACATGTAGTATTGTTCTGCGATGATCCACGATACGCGCATTTGTCCTCTCAAGTTGCTCCGTTATGATGCTTTTGACTTCCAATTCACCTTCTTTCAATGAAAGGACTAAGTCACCTTTTTGTTTTCCTGACGGAGTTCACTTTGTCTAGAGATCCTGCCACTTGCAGTTTATTTTTAATGTCCATCAAAAGTTCTGCATACGTCTTCTCTTTGTCTTCGCATGATACCACCAATGCAGTGGAAGGTTGTTTTGGGTCTTTCCTTTTTAGCTGTCTCTTGTTCGGTGCAGGTTGGCGTTGAGGAGTGCACACCTGGATGGGTATATTTGTATTTGCAAAGATACATTCCAACGATTTCCTCAACTCCAGAGACCGTTGCGCATTGGCATGTGCTATCATTAGGTTTGACCTATTTTGGTCTATAGCGAGCACTTTCAGTAGAGTAGTGGCGTTGTAAAGACTTTCGCTGGGCTCATTACTGTCTTTTCCGGGTTCCACTGTAATTTGGTACACCATCCTAGTCTTAGTTATTTTCCATCTCCCTGTTTAATTCTATTGCTCTGTTCTATATGCTTAATTTGTCCGGTACTAGAACCAACATCTTCTGCGTCTAGGAGTTCAGGATACTTGTCCAGGAGCTGGACTTCCAAGAAAGGTATCTTTTCTTGGTTTTTGTGTTCGCCTGTGACAATAACAATGTCTCCATCTCTTGTTTTTAGAGGGTTTCCAAACACCATTTTCGTTCTCTGGAAGTAATCTTCTAAGCAGAGGCATCTCACTAGTTTCTCTGAGTCCTCAAAGTTATCGGCTTCTCTGATTTTTTTTCTCTAAACAAGTCACAACTCGCTGTCTCTTCAGGAAGTACAGTTGACCGAGAGTCGTCGGGAACAGTGCGTGTGTTATGTCGCCAGGTCGCATTGAATAGACTGGTCTACTGGGACCCGCTTGCTTCCCAGGGTCTTTAACAAAGATGCGAGTCTAAAAGAGTCTTCTATCCCTCTTTTGATCTCAGTTTTGGTACTTCTGTTTACGTTTATATAAGATTTAAGGTCTTCAAGAATCTTTAACAATGAGTCCAACACCATTTTTTCTTCATCCCCCGGTGAGACAAGATACTTATCCTGGGAATTTGTTTCGGCACTTTCATCTCCGATATAT